ATTCTCCCCGCCATCAGCAACGTAGTTGATGATCCTTGATCTTATGATGAGATTGGCAGAACGGCGAGCTTGACTACTGGTCGGATGAGAGTGGTAGTGGGTGTCTTCAGAGTCACCACCCGGACGAGACCATCCTTCCCAGGATGTAGAGCCGTGATCCGGGCTAGCGGCCATTTGCATGGCGGTAGCCGCTCGTCGATGATGAGTACCAATGACCCGACCTTGATTTCGTTGTTTCTGTGGTGCCTCTTCCGTTCCAAGTTTTGACGGTGAGCGGCCCTGCGTAGTCCACCCCTGTATGAGTGAACGGTCGTGCCTGCGTAACCCGAGAGAGAGGTAGTTGGCCCATCAATTGATGAGCACGGATCCCCCTCTGACGAGCACACGTGACACACCGCAGGATGTGAGACTTGACAGTGGCCCTCCCGCCGAGAATCCAGTATCGTTGTCGGATGTGTGACAGCGTGAGCTGCGTGCCTCCATGTAGAGTCCGTTGATGAGCGTGAGCGATGATCAATGACGACAGCGGAGAGTGACGAGGCAACATAACAGGATGTATCGCGTCGAATGCGAGCTGCGTGAGCGAGTCGTCCGCCGACGCGAATGACTCCTTGAGCGTCGATGTACGCAGTCAATCTGTTGAATGCGTGCGCCTGTGCTAACGGTGAGTCGGCCTGCAATGCCTTGAGCTCGTGCGAGAAGTACGTTGCTTGAGTTGCCTGAATCCAGACGAGCCTCGCTTTCTCCAAGGTCTCTGGAGAGATGTGTCTGACAGGTAATGAGTCGTGGACTTTCCTCAACCGTGAGACGAATCTGAAACAGAGAGCTGTAATCCTCAATATTTTCGTGAGGTGTGAGTACCTGTAGATGAGTTCCCATTGATATTCAGTCCTCGGCGTAACCGTCAATAGCGAAACGCCTGGGCGAGCTTCTGTCGCACTCATCTCGTCAGAGAGTGCTGGTTGCGACGGCCATGAGTCAGGTTTGAGTATCCATGGTGGTCCCGTCCACCAAAGTGCGTGGTTTTGAAGTTGAGTGGTCGTGAGGCCTCGTGATGCGCAGTCAGCCGGATTAGAAGTTCCAGGTATGTATCTCCAGTGAGCAGCTGGAGTGAGTTCTTGAATTTGAGCCACCCTGTTCCTGACGAAATCCTTCCAGCGTGATGCATGAGATCTGATCCATGAGCCTTTCACAGAGGTGATCCATGAAAGTGTCGCTAGAGATTCCGTCCACATGTGAGTTGCCGTTACGTCCATGTTCAAAGTGGCTTTGACGTATTGCATGAGTCGAGACAGCAGTAGAACAGCCGTGAGTTCAAGTTGCGGGATTGAGAGCCGCTTGCGAGGTACTACCTTAGTCTTGGAGCACACAAGTGAGAACGTGGCGCCGTTTGAGTCGTGAACGGATATGTATATGACTGCAGCCATTGCCAATTGAGAAGCATCAGAGAATCCATGATGTTCCACTTGCGAGTCGTTCCATGTGTTGAGCCACCGTGGTATTGAGAGCTTGGCCAAGCTTGTGAGTTCTTCTCTGATGATGAGCCACCGGGCTGAGAGCTGGGATGGCAGTGGATCATCCCATTGGAGCTTGTGCAGCCACAGCTCCTGCAAGAGAATTTTGGTCTTGATCACGACAGGTGATGCAAAACCAAGTGGATCGAGTATCTGAGCCACTTCAGATAAGACGAGGCGTTTTGTGAGTCTGCCTTCCGAGCGTGAGCTTCGGGTTGAGAATGCAAAGGTATCTTCTTGAGGGAGCCATTTGATTCCGAGTATCTTGGTTGCGCAATCGTCGAAGGTGATTTGTGAGCCTTGGTCTTCGCTCTCGGTGAATGTCACTGTGTATATGAGCGCCGAGCGGAGATAATGAAGTCTCTCCACGTTTGGGAGCTGCTCGTTCGAGATGATCAGACTTGAGAAGAGATCTCGGACGGCAGGCCATGCGGCATACTCCCCGGTGAACTTGGGGAGTGAGATGTCCGGCAAGCGTGAGTGTGTCTGTCCGGTCTCGTCCGGCCGATGAGAGTCACGAGAGAGAATTGTGAAATCGCGTGCACAATGCGTAGCACCGTGTATGTGCGCGCCACTGATCACACGGAAGGGCCGTGAGATCACGTGATCACTGCGTGGTTGAGATGGGCCGTCCAAGAGCCTCGCCGCTATCCGGCTCGAAGGACCAAAAAATGTTCGCGA